GACATGAAGTATGAAGCTTTTCTCTTCTGACATTACAAACTTGAGAACATTGCCCGTGTGTATTTACTCCTCTCCCCTCGAGCTGTGGATGGAGGCTCCTCTGTGGGATTCGTTTGCTCGCCCTGTCCTTGGGGAGCGGGAGACGAATACCAAAAATGCTTCTGGCGGCGTGTCAGCGTAAATATGGCGAGGGCGGGAAGCGGACAACACAGGGCAAGGTCCATGAGAAGCTATGCGCGCCTCTCCACCAAACATCCAGCCCCAAACCTCAGGAGACCACAGACAGCTGCAGTGTAGGGAGACACCTGCTGGACGAAAGTGGAACTGCAGGCTTGTACAGAAGATAATCGTGACTTAGACCTGGACTTTTAGACAAACTTAATTGACCCACAAGGGAAATTATTTGGACACAGCAGCTCACACATGACAATATAAAATAATATCAAAGAGAACAAATATAAATCGTAATAATAAATTCAAAATAAGTAGCAAAAATGGCAAGAAACTGGTGTCAAATAAAGCAAAAATAAGGGAAAACTCTGCAAAGATGAATAATAATTGCGTGAGTAAGGTTGAGTTGTTGTACAGTTGTAGGGAGTATTATCTGTTACATAAGGGCGAGTTGTTGTACAGTTGTAGGGAGTATTATCTGTTACATAAGGGTGAGTTGTTGTACAGTTGTAGGGAGTATTATGTTAACTTAGGGTTGAGTTGTTGTACAGTTGTAAGGAGTATTATCTGTTACATAAAGCTGATTTGAACAGTGTAGGGAGTATTATCTGTTACATAAGGGTGAGCTGTTGTACAGTTGTAGGGAGTATTATTTGTTACATGAGGGTGAGTTGTGGTACAGTTGTAGGGAGTATTATCTGTTACACAAGGATGTTTTGTACAGTTGTAGGGAGTATTATGTTACCTAAGGGTGAGTTGTTGTACAGTTGTAGGGAGTATTATGTTACCTAAGGGTGAGTTGTTGTACAGTTGTAGGGAGTATTGTCTATTACAGAAGGGCAAGTCTTTGTAGTGTTGTAGGGAGTATTATCTGTTACATAATGTGAGTTGCTGTACAGTTGTAGGGAGTATTATCTGTTACATTAGGGCGAGTTGTTGTACAGCTGTAGGGAGTATTATCTGTTACATAAAGCTGATTTGTTGTACAGTTGTAGGGAGTATTATCTGTTACATAAAGCTGATTTGTTGTACAGTTGTAGGGATTATTATCTCTTACTTAAAGCTGGTTTGTACAGTTGTAGGGAGTATTATCTTTGACATAAGGGTGAGTTTTTGTAGTAGTCTTGATGTGAACGTTCGCACTTTAGTAGCAAAATTAAGTCAATATATAATTCAGTTTGGTTATAAAAATGTTAATTCTAGTTATAGTCCTCATGTATACATGATATAATATAAAATAATTATATCTGTTTTCTTTTTGTTACAGTGGAAAACAGTGAACACTGCGATTTCACAATCCTAAGAAACATGCTAATCAGGTAAGAACTAATATTTAAGGAGACATATTGTGCTTTTGTTTGTTTATATAGTTATAATATATGACACATGTGGATCATTATGTTATAATTGGGACATTTTAAGTTGCAATATTAATATAAAACAACTTAATATCAGAGACAAGTCCTCTGATTTTCTCTTGCCCCTTTATTGTGCGTCATTGTAAACTCCATCATAACATATAAAAGCTGTTCAGTAAACCATGAGATTAACCCCTCCTAATGGATAGCTGCACATCACTCCCTTTTTTTTTTTTTTTGTCCCCCGTTTGTCCCAAAATGCTCTATACACTGCTGCCAAATTCTACATGTGTCACCAAGAAAATACAATTGTAGAACAAAGTAAATGCAGAACAGTGGCTGTATATCAGTGGTTGTGAAAACAAGAATAAAGATTTCTCAAACTTGCATGAATCTCTCTAAATGCAACTTTTATTATTTGCAATTATAACATGTTTAAAAAAGGTAAAAGAAAGATTAAATTCTGTCAATTGGATAACATTTTTTTTAGTGAAAACTTTTCTCAGCTCATCCAAGCAGCTTCTTCAGGCTTTATATCTGCCTGAGCAAACTACTCTAAAACTACACTGAAACTACTCTAAAACTACACTGAAACTACTCTAAAACTACACTGAAACTACTCTGAAACTACTCTGAAACTACTCTGAAACTACTCTGAAACTACACTGAAACTACTCTGAAACTACTCTGAAACTAACAACTATTCATCTTCACTTTTGTCCAGTTGACAGAATTTAATCTTTCTTTTGCTTTGGATTGTACCTGGACGACTGAGGCACTGAAAAATCAATTTAGCACACTGTCCCCTTAACCATAATACCAAAGAAAATAATAGTTTTGATCCAATGTTGTCCATAAACAGATTTAATTTACTAAAGGTGTTTTTTATTGTTCTCACTGAATCTACGTTAGTGACATTTTTACAGCGTGACCTCATCTGAGCGTTTTTGCTTTCAGAACTCACATGCAGGACTTGAAAGACGTGACCAACAATGTTCACTATGAAAATTACCGCAGCAGAAAACTGGCAGCCGTCACTTACAACGGAGTCGACAACAACAAGAACAAGGGCCAGCTAACCAAGTAAGTGTCTCCTGTTACACCAGAGACGAGAGCTACGAGCCTGACACCAAAACACATCCTGAAGTGAGGTAGATTTACACTTCACACCACGGACACAATAACTCTGAACTAAAGCGTGATAATTCCAGTTTACCATCTTAATTAGGGGTGTCCAAACTTTTTTTCAACGCACATGAAGTTTAGGGCCAATTGGAGGCCAGTGGGTCATAGACCGGTGCCCAATACAGTGAATAATTGAAATATGTGTATTTATAACAGGCCAGAATGAGTCAGCAGACCTTTATTCATGCTTTAATCATTCATAGGACAGACTAAATATTTGATATGAGCTTTATCAAAATTGTAAAAAGTGCTGCTGACAGTAATATGGACCAGGATAGACAGGATGGACATGCCCGTTCCAAATTAACCACTTGAGTAAATTCTATCTAGATACTCACTTTTCTGTGATTAGTTTTAGGACCAAAGTAATAAAAAAAAAAAAACACTAGAAATCTGTGAGTTGAATTGCCGTTTCGGATTAATAAAGTTGTTGATTGATTGATTGAAATGAAACAAATGTATTTTTTGTGCTGAAAATTAATTTGGGTATCGAGTATTTAATCCTTTGAGTTTGAAATTTTAGTATTGGGACATTAACATCAATATCAATATAAATTTAAAACCATATATAACCATGTATGTTCATTATATTAATCTAGAACATGCTCCATAAGTAAAATCCTCCAGCTAAAGTCGTCCTGACCAAGACTAGCTGAAGATCTCGGAGATGGGCCCCTGAGCGCTGGGCTGCCCACTGCTCCTGATGAGGTGCCCCACTGATACTGAAGGATGGGTCAAATGCAGAGGACAAATTTCCCTACGGGGACAGTAAACTGTGCATTAACCTATGTTATATCATATTATAGTATAATGTTTGTTTGTTTTTATTAGACTTAGACAAACTTTACTGATCCACAAGGGAAATTATTTGGACACAGTAGTTCGCACATCACCAATCATCAATATAATATAATAAACAACAATAAATTCTAAATAAACAGCAAAATTAACAAGAGACTGGTGTCAAATAAGGCATAATTATAGAAATGTGTATGTGGAATTTAAAATAAAATGGAAATAAATAATAAAAACATCTCATTTATATACAAGAGGTACGTATACGTATACCTATACGTAAGGAAAAGCAGTCCAAAGTTGTGGGGAGTATTAACTGTTACTTAAGGGTTAGTTGTACAGTTGCAGGGAGTATTATCTGTCACATAAGGGTAAGTTATTGTACAGTCGTAGAAAGTATTATCTGTTACATAAGGGTGAGTTGTTGTACAGGTGTAGGGAGCATTATTTGTTACATAAAGGTGAGTTGTAGGGAGTATTATCTGTTACATAAGGGTGGGTTGTACAGTTGTAGGGACTATTATCTCTTACATAAGGGTGAGTTATTGTACAGTTGTAGGGAGTATTATCTGTTACATAAGGGAGAGTTGCTGTACAGTTGTAGGGAGTATTATCTGTTACATAAGAGTGAGTTATTGTACAGTTGTAGGGAGTATTATCTGTTACATAAGGGCGAGTTGTTGAGTTCACATTGAAAAAATAATGGTGTCCCAGTGCCATCTACTGAACAACAGATAAAAATAATTTAAAAATAATGATCAGGACAGGTTTATTTGCAGAGTTTTGATGTTGGTAAAGGGTTTTGGCATTGAAACCAGCTGACTTAGTTTAGAATTAGGTAACGAGTCAGAGGTCAGGGGTCAGGTCAGAGTGTGGACTACTGACCTGTAGATTACACTGATCATCTGTGTGTAAACCAGGCCAGCCCTTTAAACACTGGTCAGCACTAACTCTAACTCTAACGGTGTGGTAATCCCAGGACACTAACAGCGCCACCATCTGGCTGCTCTTCCCCAGCACACTGTCACAGCTGGTGCATGGATTAACTGCATGCTAAGTGTTTGTGTTTTTGTTTTTAGAGAAGAGACAGGTGATGGCATGTAAGTCTTATTTCACTTTAATGTCTACACGCGCTTCTTCTAATATTTCACTAAAGACTTAAGCTTTGCCTTGCTTTGCTTGCATTTTTTTTTTTTTTTTTTTTTTTTGGGTTTATTTTTATTTTATTGTTTTTTCAGTTGCATGCATGCTTTTTTAAATATTCTTAATTTATGGAGGTATTTAAAAACCAAAAGTTAAGCCACAGACATTATCAGATTGAAGAATTAAATGGAATGATCTTTGTGATTGATTTTTAAAGGAAAATTGGCTTAATCCTCACATTACATTTAAATTAAAATCAGAAATTAAAGGTAGCCTATGCAACTTTTATGGTGGATGTTTTTACTTTGCCTAGTTTTATAATAAAAAATACCATATTTTTCGGACTATAAGTCGCTCCAGAGTATAAGTCACACCTGCCAAAAAATGTGCCATGAAGAAGAAAAAAACAAAACATATATAAGTCACACTTTTTGGGAGAAATTTATTTTATGAAATCAGAGACCAGGAATCGATATTTCATCTTGAAAGTCAAGTTTTAGTAATAACAATAGAACAGAACAACAGACTGTTAATGTCACATATGAACAGTTCTTCAGATAATTATAACATAAACAACAGAACAGAACAAGTTTACCAAACTCTCCATCTCACTCCAAATCACTAAATCCATTGAATTCTTTATCCTTGGTGTCACTTCTGAGCAACTCAACAACCTCCGGAGGTAAACGGAGCACCACTTCCTCTTCTGTGTCGCTGTCGTCAGACTCAGCATCAGTTCCAGTTAAAATTATTCCGGCCTTTCTGAATCCCGACAGGATGGTTTCGGTGTCACTGAAGTCCAGGCTTTGTCGATCCATCCAGTGACTCCAGGAAAGTTTCATGGTGCATCCTCCCGGTTACCATGAAGCTCCCTCAAGTTTCTCGCTCAATCCGAACTTTCTTTCTGCTGCTCGATTACAGTTTTTGGCTGAATATTTTATAAGTTGCAGCAGGACAGAGGCTCTTTCTGCAGGAGACATGCGCAGTGGAGCCAAATGACAGTGGTACAGGAGTAACAGGAGCAGCAGATACTGACACACAAGCCTAGAATGTTCTCTCGCGGCTGTCAGTGTGAAAATTTTAATACGCAAGTCACACCGGTGTATAAATCGCAGGACTACCCAAACCATGAAAAAAGTGTGTCTTATAGTCCGAAAAATACAGTAAATAAATTGGGGGGAAAATCTGTCCAGTTGACCACCATGAAGATAAGTAGGTCAGACTCTTCACCACAAAAGTTAAATGGTGCAAATTTCACATATTTTGATGCAGATGAAGCAGTTGTAAAGTCGCAGATTATTCTTAACAACATTAAACAGTTTCAGAATGTTTTTTGTTGTTTCTGCTGCTCTTAGATTACAGTAAAGTAGTAAATGTTCTGTATTATATAAGCTGTTATAATTAGAGTACAAAAGGCTTTTCACTGCTATAAATGAATTCAGGGACTTGGTGGTGGTACTTTTTTCATTCAAACTCTATTTCTTCTTCCTTTCATCTCTGCCGTTTGTTGTCCACTCACACCAGAGACACCAAATGTTCCTTGATATTTAAACCTCGTCTTGTCTCTGCAGGAGTCCTCTGGCCCAGATGGAGGAGGAGCGGCGCGAGCACGTGGCCAAGATGAAGAAGATGGAGCAGGAGATGGAGCAGGTGTTTGAGATGAAGGTCAAGGAGAAGCTGCAGAAGCTCAAGGACTCCGAGGCCGAGGTAAGTCTAGTCCAGTCCATCCATACATACAGACAACACCACTTTTCTGCCACACACGGATTGTTAAAATGAAAGTAAACTACCAAAGCTTTGATTAAAATGAGCAGCACGAGCATGAGCAAAGTATTTTATTACTTTTTAACTCAGACGGGTTTATATATTTGGAATTGGGGTATGTTAGTGGCATTTATTAGTAATTAATAGTAGTATTTTTTTGTAATTTAAGCTACAAGGTTTTGGTGCTGTTGCTGGCTCAGAATATCACCCTGTTTGTTGTAATTTTAATTATATCTGATATATTTTTCCTGCCATCTGTAACAGCATGATGTATGATTCTGACTGAAGTGTACCAAAAGATGTAATAAATGTTTTTGAGATTTCAGACAAAGGTGAAAAAAAATAAAGAAATCCCCTTATTTAGAAGTTTACAATGTATTATTTATTTTTTTATTTTTTTATTTTACAACAAATACTCAATATTATTATTTTTTTAAATATTCACAATATTATTCATAATTTTAATATTCAGTTTTAATTTTTATTTATTTACTTTTAAAATTCTCATTTAAAAAAAAACACTTTAAACTAACATTGATTTCTAATGATATTTAATATTTGAACTACTCAAAGTCAACTTGTCTGTTCATGATTGTTTGCGTTAAAATCATGTTTATAGGGGAAGTGGTCTTATAAAAACAAAAAGGTCTTCTCATGCTCTACTGCAGTCTTTTTTTTTTTTTTTTTTTAGTTTATAACTGTTTGAAATATTATTTTTACTATCATCACTTTATGTACCAATAAAATCTAAATCTAAAATGTCCTGACTGCTCACCTTATTCCTGAAGTTGCCATGAGTGCCGTCATCATGATTCAGGTTGTAGTATTTTGTATGGAGTCAACCCTAACAACAAATAAGTTCAGTACGGATTATAAAGACGTTTTAAAGTCTTCCGGAGAAACAGTGCAGTGTGACTTGTCGGTGTACATGAAAATTTAGCATTTTACACAAATGAACCCACTTTGTCATGTCAAACTTCTCCATTGACATGAACGGGATCCCTGTGAAGTGCCACTACAAAAAGGTGTGGTTTAGGAGCGTTTAGAGACAGTAGGCAGGGAGGAATAAGGTGGATAGTAGTCTGACTATAATTGGACAACGTGTAACCTATTGACTGTTGAAGTTTTAACCCCGTGCCTTTGTCTGTGCAGCTGCAGAGACGTCACGAGCAGATGAAGAAGAACCTGGAGGCGCAGCACAAAGAGCTGGAGGAGAAACGGCGTCAGCACGAGGAGGAGAAGGCGTCCTGGGAGGCACAGCAGAGAATCATCGAACAGCAGAAACTAGACCTGTCCAGGTGAACCAAGCTTTATCAAACTTCATTTGTAGATCTACTAAAATAACTAAATAAATAAATAACACTGTAGCTCAAAAATAGAAGACTAAAAAGGTCAGAACATTCAAGACTTGTAGAATGGCCAATCCAATGATGTAATTACTTAATGGGCCTATTTTCTGATCTATGTAATAATGTTTCCTCATCAAAAACAGACCTGGAGTTGTGCTGTTTTATTCACACGTTTAACACACAAACCCTGCGTATTGCGTTGCACCTTGTGATGTCATGTGGTAGTTCAGGAAATGCTCCAGTGTTTTTAAGGCTACGTTTACACTGAAATGAATCACCGTATCACCGTATCAGAAACGATCTGCGTCCAGACACATCTTTTCTGTGTCTGCAAGCCTTCCCTATCCACACAGCTTTGAACACATTTGTTTACGTTTTACAGAAACAAAACTTAAAACCGCATGGCTAATTTGCATAAACTGAGCGCTCAAAAAACAGCTCGATATTGTGCGCTGATGTGGTTCAGCTTCTGTCGGACTAAAGGACATGACTCAGTGGAATACGAGTGTTCTTTCTGTGACAGAGGGGTGTTCTGCTGATGGTGAGTCTGTTCTGTGTTTGTCACGTTGGAGATGATTCATGTTAAACTTTTCAGAGATTATACGTCTACAGGTCGTACACATAGATCGTATAAATGAATGGACGTATATTCTAGCTTCTTAGTGTTTTGGTGGTGAATTACTTCGCAGCACATAGACCTACATCAGCGTATCAGCGGTTTCAGGCATCCACACAGTGCCGGATCAGATCTGTACTCAGGTGAATTCGTGGGAGCTGGCAGCACCAGATCGTTCCGTCTCTGGAGCAGTTTTCAATCAGATTAGTGTGGAAGAACACTGCATCTACAACGAAAACGACTCAAATACGTACTAGTGTGGACGGGGCCTAAAACTCCATACATCTTCACTAGAATAATTTGGATTTGAATCAGTTCTGGAAATGCCCATTTTTACTGAACTAAAGGTGAAAGGAGCTGTTAACGTGACATTTTGAGCAAGCATTTTGAGCTTTGGAGATGTAGACAGACTAATAATAAAGGATTACCCAAACATTTCTGAATGAAATTAAACACAACTCCAGGTCTGTTTTTGAGGAGGAAACAACATTACAACATGAATTAAGTCTCGTAATAATCCATTTAGTGTAATATAGGCCATGTAATTACCAGTAAATGATTTCCAAAGTATGTCAAAAACTTGTGAATTATTAAAGTTGGCATCTTTTTAAATCCTAACAAAAGCACTGTAACATAAAACACGTGTATTAACATCATTCATACTATTTCTTTTATTTTCTTACACTATGTACTTTCAAATTTGTGCAATGTTACTTCTTCTTTTTTAGTTATTTTGCTTCACTTCTATACAATTTCAGATTTCAGTTGTGTAACTTTTTTCCCTCTCTTCTTTTCAGGACCTTGGAAAAGAACAAAAAGAAGAAGATATTTTAAAAACTCTTATGAACTCTCCCAAACGTACAGGATATCCATGCCTGCCTGCCGCTTCTATCCGGATGGCGCACACTTTCACTGTACAGCGCTCACCACCAGGGGTCAGTGTTGTCTGGACTCTGAACAGTATCTTTTGTTGACATAATTTCTTTCACATAGATGTATTTTTCTTTCCCAATATAAAACACGCAGTAGTATCCTATTTTACTGAGTATTTATCATTTTCTTGTATTTACGGTTTATACAAAGCCAAAGTTGTCTCAAAGGACGCCAAGTAAACATTTTTAAAAGTTATGTTAGGTATTTAGATATATTTATTTTATGTTTTTTACAGTATTGTTTTAAAGCTGCACTATGTCACTTTTCTGGTTTCTTCTCTGTCCCGCAGTATGGCATTTAACACATCTGTATTGCTTTTATTCCATTACTGTGTTTAAAAAAAAAAAACAGAAAACCCATTCTGACTGTGAGCCAGGTCGCCTCTCCACAGATCTGACCTGTAACTTGTTTGTCTCCATGGATAGATGAGCTTAATGTGGACAAAACTATAAAATCTCCATGGAGACGAGCAGGCGGCAAACCTTCCACCAGAAAAGTTACACATTGCGCCTTAAACTGATACACGTAACTCCAATTTCTGCCAAATCAATTAATTTTCTTACTTTTATGTATTTAAATATTGTTACCACTTTATTGTAATTCAGTAGCTTAGGCATATATCTTCAGTTAGCTTCAGTTAGCTTTAGTTTGCTTTAGTTATAGCTTCACTTAGCTTTAGTTATAGCTTTAGTTTGCTTTAGTTATACTTTAGTTAGCTTTAGTTATAGCTTTAGTTTATTAGCTTCAGTTTGCTTTAGTTATAGCTTCAGTTTGCTTTAGTTATAGCTTCAGTTTGCTTTAGTTTTAGCTTTAGTTATAGCTTCAGTTAGCTTTAGTTATAGCTTTAGTTAGCTTTAGTTTAGCTTTAGTTATAGCTTTAGTTTGCTTTAGTTATAGCTTTAGTTTGCTTTAGTTATACCTTTAGTTTGCTTTAGTTATAGCTTCAGTTAGCTTTAGTTATAGCTTCAGTTAGCTTTAGTTATAGCTTTAGTTAGCTTTAGTTATAGCTTTAGTTATAGCTTCAGTTAGCTTTAGTTATAGCTTTAGTTTAGCTTTAGTTATAGCTTTAGTTATAGCTTTAGTTAGCTTTAGTTATAGCTTTAGTTTAGCTTTAGTTATAGCTTTAGTTTGCTTTAGTTATAGCTTTAGTTATAGCTTCAGTTAGCTTTAGTTATAGCTTCAGTTAGCTTTAGTTATAGCTTTAGTTATTTAGCTTTAGTTAGCTTTAGTTAGCTTTAGTTATAGCTTCAGTTAGCTTTAGTTATAGCTTTAGTTTAGTTAGCTTTAGTTATAGCTTCAGTTAGCTTTAGTTATAGCTTTAGTTAGCTTTAGTTATAGCTTTAGTTTAGCTTTAGTTATAGCTTCAGTTAGCTTTAGTTTTAGCTTTAGTTAGCTTTAGTTATAGCTTCAGTTAGCTTTAGTTATAGCTTCAGTTAGCTTTAGTTATAGCTTCAGTTAGCCTTAGTTGGCTTTAGTTAGCTCTAGTTGGCTTCACTTAGCATGTAGCGTTACAGTCAAATAATGGGTACTCTTAGCTTTGTGCTTTTAAAAAAAAATTTATTCCTCCGTAAAGGTGCACTGTGTAACTTCACCCGCTTGTTTCTATGGATACGTCATTGCTCTGCCTGGAATGTTCCACAGTATGACATTAAACAGCTCTACATTATATTTATTCAGTCACAGGTTGTTTTATAGCTCAAAAATGGTTTAATAAATAGGCTATCTGACGGTGACAGGGTTCCCACGGTCATGGAAATTGAAAATGTCATTTTCCAGGCATGGTAAAGGTCATGAAATTTTGGGAATTCAATGAAAGTTTTGGAAAGTTATGAAATTTTAATATCTCTTTGATGCAGCTACAGCATTCTGTTAAGTCCTCATTAGACTATTATGATTATTTCTGAACATGAGCGCCTTTTGTTTAAAAGAGACAACAATAAATGCACTGATAGTATTTTAAATGTTAAAAACTATAAAACCAAACCATAAGGTGAGTGGAAAGAGTTCAGATTTCATATTTAGCCCTAAAAATCTGATCAATTCTACACATTTAGGGTGCTGTAAAGTCATGGAATATTCACTTTAGGTCATTAAAAAGTCATGGAAAAGTTTTGTAAAAAGAATGGGAACCCTGACTGTGTGTGAGCGGGGTCACCTCTCCACAGATCTGACCTCTAACTTGGTCTGGTTTGATCTCCATGAAGATAGAAAAGTTGAATACTATACTGTGAAACCTTCCAGACAAAACAATAACATCTCCACCGGGAAAGTTACGCAGTGCTGTTTTAAAATAACAATTGATGCTTCAGTTCAGAGTCCAGACTTGTGTGTTTTGGGAATGTCGGTTGCCACGTCGACGCCGTTTTAATGCCAAAAAATTAAACGCGAGATCAGCTACAACCGGGCTGCTTCTCTCCTCAGGCACTGTTTATATATATTTGTATTTTTGGTCATTTATTTAGCTTCTTCATGTTACTCCTCCCACCTCCCATTCTCCTGTAATATAATTTGTTTAACTGCAGTGTTTAAAGCATGTTCTTTTATTTTGAACTTTTATTTTAATTTTCTATTGATCCATCGTTTTAGTTTTAGTTTTAGTTAATAATATTTACTTTGCCCGTGGAAAATTACATTGTTCTCATGACTTCACTCGCGCCGGGTGTAAAAATGTAAAGAATTATTTGGCAGGTTTTGTATAAATTGGCATCGTAAATATATTTTCGTAGCTTTAAATTTCAAATGACAAACAACAAAATTGGCTTTCATCGCTTCACATTTAGCACTGTTTGTACCTTATCTGTATTTTATAATGTTTTTACTGTATAAAGTCACATAATAAAATTGTGATGGGAAAATGTGTTCAGTGTCTTGTTTGGTCGCCAAGAAGGTTTGACAATGTTTGTTTTAAATGGAGCTTCTGTGGCCTGTGTTAAACTTTTACTCCTGTTTTTAGGGTCCTTTACAAAGATGACAGGAGCATCCAGACGTACTGAGAGTGAGACAGAAAGAGAATGCAACACCTTTTTCATGGTTTGGGTGTTTCCTGCGACTTATACTCCGGTGCGACTTAGGCTGCGTTCAGACTGCAGCCTGAAGTGACCCAAATCCGAAAATCCCAAATTTTTTGGCCTCTATGTGACCTGTATCTGATCTTTTAATGACAGTCTGAACAACACAGATCCGATTTTTTGAAATGCGACCCAGGCCACTTGGATATGTGGTCCTGAAACTGATACATATCTGATCTTTTGACATGCGACTTCAGTGTGAACGGCCAAAGCGCATTCATTCGACCTTCAACAAGCCACAAACGTCACTATTCTGCGCTGACGTAGGCGAAAATTGTTAATGAACTCCATGTCACATCACCACTCACCACTCTTAGCTACGTCTCCACATCCACACGTTCCTTTCAACGGACGTTGCTGCCGCTGCCCCACAAAACACCACGACCAAAAACTTTGTCCTTCTCAATCTCCTCCTTAAAACAAGTAAGTTTTCATGTTCTGACTCCGGTACGAGAGGAACTTTAAAATCTCCAGGTGCTCAATGCTCACTTCCATGTTTGGACAACTTCCGTAAACACAGAGCACGCTCACTGCGGTTGACGTCGTCGTGTCTCCAGTGCACATGCGGGACACTTTTGGGCCGTTTAATGTTCACACTGGAGTCACATACAAGTCACATTTAATTGGAAATGTGAACGAACCTCACAAAAACATCGGATTTCACAAAAAAATCGGAATTGAGCGCATTGAAGAAAAAGCTGCGGTCTTGCTGCAAGTAGTCAAATATTCAGCCAAAAATGGTAATTGAGGAGCAGAAAGAAAGTTTGGAGTGAATAGAGAAACTTGTGAGGGACTGGTGGAAAAGCTGGGATAAAGAACACAGCTTCAACTGGGCGTATGCGACATGCAACTTTCCTGGAAGTCACTGGATGAATCGACAAAGTCTGAACTTTAGTGACAAGAGAAACCATCCTGTCGGGATTCAGAAAGGCCGGAATAATTCTAACTGAAACTGAGGCGGAGTCTGACTGTTATAGCCGTGGTAATAAAAGTCCAGAGCCGGGGATGCAGTTTAGGTTGTTTATTTAACATGAATGAACAAGTTCAGGAAAAGGGAAGTGACCGGAAAAAACAACAAACAAACTACAGGACAGCAGGGACAATAGCTAACTGTAAAAACACAAAAATCCAAAATTACAAAAAAACAGACAGGCTCGATAAACTTTAATAATTTAAAAACAATTTAAAAATGTTGCTACCTGTGTTGTGAATCCCACACACAGCTCCCCCGTAGCACCGTTCAGTTTTGTTTTTTTTAAACGGTGTGGTCGCCCTAACACACGACAATTAATTTTAATAATGCAGTCTCATTCACTCTCACACACAAACCATTTAAAAACCCACCAGTATCCTTGGCCAAACGCACGCACACGTGGGTCCTGCAGTCTACCTGGCCACCCTGACACCCTGAAACTGACACCTCCCGGGCACACGGCCAACTTCCCCTTAACAGCTGCACAGAAGAGGAAGCGGCGCTCTGTTCACCTCTGGAGGTCGCGGAGTTGCTCTGAAGTGACACTGAGGATGAAGAATTGAATGGATGTAGTGATTTGGAGTGAGGTGGAGAGTTTGTTAAACTTGTTCTGTTCTGTTGTTTATGTTATAGTTATCTTAAGAACTGTTCATATGTGATGTTAACAGTCTGTCGTTCTCTCGTCTATTGTTTTTACTAGAACTTCACTTTCAAGATAAATTGTCGGTTCCTGGTTTCTGATTTTATAAGATTTATTCCCCCCCAAAAGTGCGACTTATAGTCCAGTACGACTTACACATGTTTTTTTCTTCTTCATTATGCATTTTTTGGCTGGTACAACTTAAACTCCTAAGCGACTTATAGTCCAAAACATACGGTACTACTTTTTTGAAAAGTAAGAGCTCAAGCTACATACAGCTTCTAAAAAAAAAAACTTAAATTGAACATGAATGCAATAACATGGACACAAATTAATCTTAGAAGTTTGTATTTATAAGCTTTTTCTTCCTGATATATGGGCCATTATGAGGAGTTTTTCCCCACTATATAGGATATAATATTTAGTTTTAAAATGCTATTGTGACAGTCCTAATTTCCCATCATTCTGAAATAAATAATTACATGTATGTCCAGCAGGTGGCAGTGTTAGACCTTTTCTGTTGTCCGGGGAGATCTAGGAACTTTCCCTATATTGACCCAAAGGCGTATCTGTGTTTTTCTAGACTTCCAGCATGGCGGAGCAGGCTTTTTGCAAATGCAGGCAAAAAAATGGGTCAAAGTATTCACCTTTTGCCCATTTCCCTGTTTAACCTGCTCTTTACTGTTCATGTCAGATAAGGAGAGGAGATAGATCCAGCGTCCAGAGCGCAGACAGGCTTTATTCTCCTGTGCCCTCAATAGTCCTACTGGGGAAGAGGTGATCGTGTGTGTCTGTGTGGGCTTATCTTCATTTTCTCATTTAAAAAAGCAAGATTACAGCATGTTATTTAATCATTTATTTAACATGGTGTCACAATAAAGTCAACTTGGCAAGGATAAAAAAAACAAAACATGTATATATTTTTGTAATTGTAATATAAAATTGTACTTCATTACAGGT